TATTTGAAATATGGCCGGATCAAAAAGCTGCCATTCGTTGCAGCTACCCCAGAACATCGGTGCTGTATATTTTATTTACATTCATTTATTTAGACAGACTGTTATTCAATTATTTAAATATTTTAATTTAGAGTCAAGCAGTGCGTAAAACAAATATTGAATCAGGACATCTGCTACAATCTTGCATCTCAAGGTGGTGAGCCAACCATCTATGGGCGTAGTCACACCTAGTGTAGCTGTCCACTGGTTTCTTAGATGGCAAGCTGTTTTTGCACCGGATCATGCCTGCTTATGGTATTAGGGAAACGTCGCGACAGTAGTCGATGACCTTGTGAAGACACGAAGGCGAGTTCAAACAGTACTTAGCTTTGATACTGCACAAAGATAGGCACAGATCATCTCAATATCTTCACATATACGGAATAAATTAAACTAATTTTAATTTCAGTACAAAGCAGTAATGTGTGGTCTTTACCGCAATACTGCCTAAATCACAGTCTACATCAAAGCCAGACACGGTGTAAAATTGGAAATGTAGGTAGCAATGGCGAAGTTCAGGTATAAGGAGAGGCTTAGTGATAAACCAGTAAAACTGAAAACTGTATACAAAGGGTTTATTTAGACATAGCGCAATCAGGTGATTGACCAGTACTGACGTTTCGGCTCATCTCTCAAGAGCCTCCTTCAGGGTAGTCCGGATTGATTTCTGTGGTTGCTTATGTGGTCCGCAGCTGGTGGCGACTGGAGTCGAGGTGTGCTTTTGGTCCACGTTGTTTGTTACCTAGTTTTTGGGTCATAGGCTTGACAGTTAAGTTTCTTTCCATAACCGGCTGGGCAGACGAATCAAACAAGTCCTAATTATCCAATTCTGCCAAAATGTCATCGGGGACAAAGGATACGAACTCTGCACTTTATCAAACCCGTGACCAAAAAACTACTTAAGCAGCAGCATGGGTCAAACTTACACCTTCGGCTCCAGACGTCATTACAGCTGCAAACCACACAACCAACTGCAGAACCAACCCTTAATGAAGGTTCGTGAGAAGATTCGAAACGTCAGCACTGGCCAGTCACTAGACTGACCAACTGACTGGTTTGCCTTCTGTATAAATAAACCGTTTTTATGTATATTTCTGTTTTCAGTATAAGCACCAACGCAGCAACAAATTACACAATCTTCCAAACCAGTAATACCGCGGTATTCCTATAACGGGCTTGGACTGAACCTCAACTCAATTTTAGTTCGTACAAGTACAGACTAGTCCAGACTGATATGGACTGAAATGCGCATTAACTTCAGTCTATAATGGTATGGACGGATTACCACGTTGAACGGTAACATGCATAATAAATAAAACAACAAAATTACAATATATATCTAAAAAATCAAATTGTGCAAAGTCATACTTTTCGAGACCAGCACATGATCGTTACTGAATTCTCTTCGTTTGGACTGCTTCGCACAAACGTCCAATATAGCCTTAGCGGCTCCAATGCGCGGTAGCGTCACATTCTCTAATACTGGGTAGTTGTTTTTCAGAGCGAACAACTGACTCTTCGTCCTTCGCTTGTACAGAAACCCTCCTTCAGGAAAAAGAACGATCCAACGACGGTCGCGTGACCAGTACTTGTTTTCGAGGTGTTTGCGTAGTTGGTCCGTGGAGTATCGTCCATCGTTTGTGCTCTAAAGGCACTCATATTTAATGCCGCAGTAAGTTCATCCATAAAGGTACTAGATTTGTACGACTCTTTTAAGTGCTTCAGAATTTTGAAAATCGTTAGGTCTAGACATTAGCCTGTCAAAACTGACCTATTCCCAGATTACTCCACTGATTTTTAATTACATGCGATAAACAGTAAAAGTCCTTGTCGCTTACCCATCCAAATATTCAGAAGGATAGCTGAGTGATGAAGTGATGGTGCGAATTCTCATCATAAGCTATGGTAATTAGGTAGGCTTGTCATGAATTCTGAAACGAACTTCCAATGAACCAAAACAAGACAAATCAAAGCACAGACAGGGAGGCACATTGCTGCAGAAAGCAAATGAAAACTGTTCATCATTATAAAGCGACTGTACGGGCAGATGTCATACCAAGATCTTTAGTGGACGGCTCCAAAACTCTTCCATGATGGCAAAGGTTAAACTGCGGCGGTACAGCTGTAATCGGCCTTCCGAACTGGAGCTACTTCTGGCAGATGCTACAGTTATTGAAAATGACTGTTCTTCTTGCAGTGATGTAAGTTTCCAGTCAGGTAGACCTGCTGGTTTGTTTACCTCACTGTTCTTAATGCCATCTGTTCATCTGAAAGTGAACAGCTGTCTCTGACAATTTATGCAGAACGAATACGGCCTTCTGAGACCCTTTTTCGACGGATACGATCATTGCTTGAAGTATAAAGAGACTGCTCTACTGTTAAGCTGTGACTGTCGGTCACGGGCGCCCATGACCCTGTGACAAAGGATACCAAGCCAGTTTTGCATAGAATCTCAGGTTTGCATCATCCGGAGGAACACCCTCTGTTACCGTGGCAAATGAATGTGCATACTGCTTCCACTGTCTGGTCAACTACTGTGACAATAGCGGTGCACGTCAATTTATCTTGCAAAACAAATACCTATACTGTAGATCAGTCCCGGTGAATTCAGTAAAAGATGTCCAAACATAACCTCAAAAAGGACATGGCATTCCATCGATGAGATAAAAAAAGTCATATGACTCACAAGTTTGGAAAGGGTTTCATGAAATCACGTATTATGGCGTCTTTTCTCATTTGGAACGACATTTACAGCACACATTACTTAGGCAACTAAAAACATTAATTCAAACAAACCTCTCTGATAAAAAAATCTCCATGAATTTGGCTAATCAATCCAAAATTGGTCCATTTGAACATTGAATCCAAGATCCAGAGGGTCTGTAACATCAAACATGAAACATAAAACTTGAAGCAGTCATGAATTATGAATTACGCTCGAAACACCGGGCCGCTTAACGCTGAACAACGTTACCAAAAGGGGAACGTCGGCAGTCGATTGGTGATTGACAATGACCAAACAACGTTCGTTCCGGTACTTGTCGAGATCATCGCCAAATATATAAACTGAAAACCAGAATGCAGAAAGCGGTTAGTTAACAAGAAAACAGCTAAACATCTAAGACATATCAGATTTCTGTTACCTCATGCATAGTTGTCGTCTGAAACTTTGGCGGACTTAATGGAGAGTAGTGGTACCACCATTATGCATCTTTACTATCATATGGGTGAGGATATGAAACTAATCTGAATCTCAGTTCTCCCGGTCACAGGGTTCGGCTAAACCGTAATACCGTTTTGCGACTTCGTCGACGAGCACATTAAGAATTGCTGACATAAAGCGCAATTACGGAGGAGCATGTTCCCTTCCTTTAACAGTTCAAGGTATCTTATGTCAATCCTCTCTTCAGTTCATTTGGAGCCTGTTGCAGTAATCTTGAGGTTGTCAAACACTTTTTCGATATCGACTAATATAATAATATATCTACTGTTTACAACAATAATGAAAAATGACGTCTTCTCAATCCTGATGTACAGCCTCGAAACATATACCCTTTCAAAGCACCATGAAAAGACACTGGACACTTTGCAGCAAAGCTGTCTGCGGAACATTTTGAAAGAGCAATAGTCCCACTGAATGAAGAAAGAAAGACCCTGAAAATGACTGGCCTGAGAATGCTGTCTGAAGAAATCAGGGACAGACGTCAGCCATGACTTAATAAAAATATACGGAGAAAATGAAGACTTAAAGAAAACCATTCTCACTGGGAAGCAAAAAATGACCCAGACGCGTCAGAGACCAACATACTCCTGTAAGGCAGCTGCTAGAGGCGGATTTCCCTATGACGCGGAATATAACCTTTGCCACAGCAAACATCGCCTAAATCATTTTGAGGAGCCAAAGCGTCAGACATCAATAATTTGGGTACTCGGACTTCGACTCTGATATTTCAGATGACGACGACAACAGCAACAATCCGCTGCAAATAATTTATGTCAATTGATTAGTCGAACTATAAAATAAAACCAAGACTCGGGGTAAAAAATATAACAAGAAGATTGCGGAATGAAAGAAGCATAAATCAACAAAATGGATAACAAACACCTGCCGGGGCTACTTACTATTAAACGCAGCAAGCTTAACCCACAAGGTGATGCAGTTGGAGAGAAATCGTACGAAAACGCCTTCTAGACGCCAGTAAAGTGGAGGGCTAAAAGAAAAAAGCCATGGTAAGACGGAAGGACAAAATCAACGAAGCAGCAGATCAGTCGCCTACTTTAGCCGGTGCAGCGGCCGGAACAACAGCATGGTGACAAGGTAACCAGGCAAACCAAACACGTTGTTCAACAACACCAAAAGAACGACGAACACTGAACGCACGAGGCGCAGCACGTCTATCACCTCCCACGTCGGCATTCATGAAACCTGGTTACAAAATGCTTATCTGTAAAAACGAAAACCCACAGTTTCTGCTGAGCGGATTGCAGAAAGCGAACAGGTAGGAAAATACGTACATTGTGCTTCGCAATGAAAGTTGAAATACAGGCAAACCGACTGGCTACAACGCGCATATAATTTTACTCACAACAACTTTAGATCAAAAAATAATACAATAAAATTCTTTTCAAGCAGCAATTTAAAAAGAAACAGAAAATATCTAAAGCCATTAAAGAATCTGGCACGAACGGTTAGAGACAGAAAGAAATACGTTTCCCGAATACTTTACTAAGCGTCATAAAACAAGTAAGCTGTGCACGTCGTTAAGTCGGCCGATTCTCTTCGTTCCGGAAACGCAGCATCGAAAATTCTCATAATGAGAGTGCCAGAAGTATAATATTTAGGAGACTGGGACAAGAGCCGATGATCAAGCGGACAACTGTGTGAACACCTTGGTAAGAGCATCGGCGCCACCGGAGGCGATCAGCGGACGAGATGCGTGGAACGCTACCGCGAATACGCTTTCGTCGAACTTTTTACGATGAGCAGTAATTTCCTGCAGACACGTCTTCGTGTCCAAATTCCACAGCCTCAGCGATCCATCGTGACCTAAAAGAAATACCCGACAGTGCCATGTGCTCTAAAGGCCGAGTCGCTTACTTCCGGATAGCAGATATAATCCGTTAGGGTCAACGGAAAGACATGTGACAGCATCCAGATGTGCATTCATTAAGTCGATGATTTTACCTTCAAAGAAATCAATTCATGCTACTTTCCGTTAAATCATACTAGTAAAAAAAGTCTGCTTACTACATTATATATATAAAGTGGCGTCTATAATAAATCTAAATAAGTTAATGCTGCAGAACACATGAAACCAAGAATAAGTTGTACTTCAGGTCAGACAACAACATCTGATACTCGTTGACTTGGCACTGTTCACGATAAAATTAGCTTGACCCTGAGAACATCGAAAACCCAAAGGGGCAAATTCTTCTGTCTCCACATGCTTGACCTCTAGCAAGGCTAGCTGCTTCTCATATTCAGCACTTCCCGCAATTTTTTATCCTTCACCAGACTTGTCTTCATTGGGGGGGGGGGCACTAACGCAATTCGACGAGTCGATGATCCTCCAATCTTCCTTTCAAATGTTTGTTTTGCAGTCCATTCCGGGTGCCAACCCTGTCAAATACAAGTAATACTGCTTCTTTAAATGGTTTCAAAAAAGCAACGCATTTTTTTAAACCTTGGCAACGTACATAAGTCCCTGGCGAGTTCCGGACAACACCACCGTTTCAACCTAGCGTAGCGGGCTCCTGCATCATTATCAGGTTCCTCACGAGTGAGAAACAAATTTAGTCGGCCATTCAAAATATTACAAAGAAGGAAAGTCTGTAAAGTCAAATACGAAGTTGCTACGCTTGCCCACAGTTTGTTACTGGTGGAGTTCATGGTCTGCTAAGGAAGGATCACTATCAGGATTATGCTGCGTGCAGGTATCTCCATCTGTCGTCCTGTTTCTACGGAATTCCTGACTCTTGAATTCTCACACTACCTGGCAATTTCGCACATGAAAGCAAAAACTGACCTGTACAATTGTCGAAAAATCTGATCGTCTTATCGTTATGTGCCGTGATGGTCATGGGTAAAGTCGGGTGGCTGAGAATGCAGTTGATGGCTGCGGCTGTAGTGTTCTTTTCGTCGACGCCGGTGTCGAATGACAGTACGGTTCTACCGGTTTCCAGGTCGTAGATGAATGCTGAGCCGGATGTGTAGGCGGCAACCGCCTGCTGAGGATCAGTGCTCATGAAGTCGACAGAAGTGGGAACCCCGCTTCCTACAAACAATTGCCGTAAACATACTGCCCAGGAGAGAGCACATGTCATTCACCTTCATGATTGTCAGGAACATACGTTTTCAGCAGAGGTTGCGCAACGGACGGTTCCCAAATTTTGACAGTGCCGTCGGCGCTGGCGCTAATCAATCGGTTGTCGCTGGAGTGGAAGGCGACAGACCATACGGCATCCGAGTGACCGCGGAACGTTTCAGAGAGCACTGACTTGTCGTACGTATCGTAAAGGTCAACGCTCGGCGAAGGCATCATCCAGCATCGAACAGTTCCGTCCAAGCTGCCTGTATAGCAGTAGTCGCCGGTCGGCGATAAGCACATGCTCAAGACTGGTCCACTAGAAGAACAGG